TATTTTTATTACCTTGAGAAGAGTTCAAATTAATGTAATTTCTAACCTGTATGAAGGACGACTCCGGAACTTGCTGTGCTTCATTAATTTGAGAGCATGCGCAAGTCAGCAGAAAATCGGCTTCTTCGGGGCAAACATCCCCTCCAGCCGAATTTTTGGGAGAAAATAATGACTCTCCTCCATCGTCGCAGTAGGGTAGAAACAATGAGCTGTCATGACTTTCCTCGGGTTTATTAGAAGGAGACATCGTAAACCTCTGAACAAAAAACAGTTTGGGTTTGTTCTGTAGAGACGGACAGTTTCTGGAACTGAACTCGGACATGACCTGCTCGACGCTTGCCTTTCTCCCATCGACCCCAGAAATTTCGTGATCGTGGCTACCAAGTGAGATGACAAAAAAGACAAAGACGCCGTAGTTGCTATGATCTTTAGCTGCAAGTTCTTGGGCAACTCTGTTAATCTCAATCATTGTAAGATTTTGCCTGATCTGCACATCAAAGGCAAGTGAACAGAAAAGGTCAGAGAGTTGCACTTCTTCTGCGAGGTTTAAGTTTGAGGCGTTGTTTATGATGAGGCAAATTCCCTTGGGAAGTTGGTTCAGTTCGTAATGGCAGAGCTGGGGTACACCTGTAATAGGGCATTCCAAAGCAAGCATAGTGTCATACTAGATATAAGATTACACCCATACAAAGTAATCCATATCCATACGTTAACTAGCATTTCTGTCTGTAATTACATGAGCTAGGGAGGACATGCATCCATTTACACTCAATGCAAGAGGTCAACCTATTTACTGGAGCTAAAAAATGGTGATGGCCGCAGTAAAAAGCTGGAGTTAATGCAGACTTTATCTTGAAAAATCTTAGTTTGTTGATGTCGGTTCGATTCGCTCTCGTCTGTCCCCTGCATAAAATCGTTCAAACCTTCCTTCACTGCCTACTTAAACAAGCTTAACCGTTTTGACAATTTATCCGTATTGCAAAGTATCATTAGCCAGTTATTGTTGGGGTAACCTTGTAAGTTTAGTTATTGCTAGTGTGAACTTGAAAGTTAGTGATTGTCAGTGTTAACTTGTAAACTGGTAGTTACTGTTAGCCAACTTGTAACCTTTAAGGGTATTAGTGTATGGCGTGTAATCTGCTGTTTGTTTTTTAATTGGTAAAGAAAAAAAGTCAAACTTTGGCTTCTAATGTAGCTTCAAAGGACAAAAGAGTACTGAAAAATTTGATTTTCAACAGGAAAAACAGACCTTCTCGGGGTTCTTCATTAACATCCATTGTTCTCCCTGGGAGGTCAAATAACAGCCTCTTAAACCCTTGAAAGATAGCAGTTCGAGATTAGTACACGTTTCGAGATTCAAACCAAGATTATGCCAAGGCTAAAAGCAAAGCAAAGAACGCACTGAAGCACACGTACCAACTCCGTGGTATGGCTAATACCGTACCCATGCGCACGACTATATCACCCGGGCAGTGGCAGCCAAGGACAACTGTTTCGCCCCTCTTGGGGCTTATCAACATTGCATAACCAGTATGGTCTCACTTGCGATCACAGACCCTGCCTTTTACTGCCGAGGGGGATACATAAGCGCCCCAGCTCCACACTAAACACTGAGTGGTAGCTCTTGGTTGGGAACTGAAGCAAAGCGTCCATTTGAAGCTTATTTGTTTAATTTTAAAATTAGTTAAAACCAAAAGTAAAACGAAGAAGCTTCAGCCTATGAAAATCCACAAATTTGTGCCTAACTGAATTTAAAACTAAAAGAGAAAATTTTAAATTAATTAACTCGATCACAATAATAGTCTAGGGAAAGAAATCTTACCCATACGTGTGCATACACACACGCACACGCACGCACCCACACACCCTTTTAAAGAAGCTAATAGCCTATAGCTATGAAATTTAATGTTATAAACCGACCAATATGTTGTAACAGATTGCTTGATTGCCTTGGTTTAGGTCTAAAAGTGGACAATTTTATACATATCATAAATACCTCTAACAACAGGCATCCAAAAGGACTCCGAATTCTGATGTACGAATGTTACTTCTCCTAACGAAGGCGAATTTTGCTCAAAAACAGCTGTAAAGAACCAAAGTTAAAATGTACTGTTCGTAGTAAGAAATGGGGATTTAGCATTTACATTCATGATAAAAGAAGTTAGCGAAGAGAAAGGAATTACCGCGACAAGACTATCCCAGTCAATAGAGCGCTTGACTCCAGAACGGGAGGTCGCTGGTTCGATTCCCGGGACCAGGTTTAAAATAACTGACTATGGAAATGCCAGTGGCTTTGCAAATGGCTCGACCTTCGACGCGGCTCGGACGACCACGTAAAATGGCGTTCCTGCCTTCCAGAAGCGGAGACGTACAAGTAGCGATAGTACTTAAATTGTGCTAAATACATTGGGTTGTCAATGAGCAATTGAAAATTATAAAACAACATCAAGAGGAATAACAACCGAACTCAATGAACAAGAATAAGGCCAGGTCATGAAATCGTGTACAATCCTGCGTAAATTACAGGTGTTACTTTTTACAAAACGAGGCAATTATTAAAAACTGAGTCTTATATTGACGTTTCAATGCATCCAAACTTTTTATTTATATCGTATGACGCATTTTTTATTATTGGCTAAAATATAACTGTTTTTTTCATTGTCGTGTTTCGCCATACTCACCTTCCTCTTGGCCGCGAATTAGAATGACTTCAATTTTGCCTTCACTTCCTTCTGAAGTTAGGCGAGCATATCCGTGACAGAAACGTGTGTTGGCACCAATAGAGACCCATCCTTCGTTGCCATTAATATTGAAATGAATACGTTTGTTCTCTGGATCACGACGAACGCTCAAAAGGCTCCCGCTTGTGACGTCACAATCAAAACACGATATTTGCGATACAGCACCAACACTGTTAGTTGAATCGAATGGTTTACGGAAGATCTGTCTTGACTTACTGTTCCAGGCCCTGTAAAGATCAACGCAAGTTAAAACAAAAAAGCATTATGCAGACTAGATTTGAAGTTAACAGGAGGGACTCTACTAAGAATAAACTAGCCTGCAAGCAAGCACTCCATTTGGGGGAGTTGCGAGAAGTCACGCGAGAGCCGCACGGCTCTCCTCTTATTCCTTCCCTCACGGCTTTGCAGCTCGCCGCCGCGCGTGTTCTCGCGGCTCGCTCGCAGGCTAATGATTAACCCCTCCCCAATGAACCGTATTTTATCGTCTCGACAGATACATTTACATCTTAACCCTTGACTTTAACTCCCAGTCACTCCAAGTAGAGGCCAGTGTAAAGAAATTCACAAAAATTCAAAATGTCTGATTTTGAAAATCTTAAGAAATATATGTTACCAGACAAAAGTTCTACCAAAGAGGTTTCAACACCAGTGCCTAATTTCAAACCGAGGAGGGCTGTGTACGACACATTGAGGTAATAATAATTTTTAGGTTTGGTGTTAATCGAGCCAAAATTAAACAAGATACAGCTATTATAAAACTTGAAAATTTTCTAAGAGATGTACTGGGATTGCCGAACAGACCGTGCGGGTGTCTATACATTTCTTTTACATTTGGAATTTTCGAATGGCTGTATCACGTCTAATATAGGCCGAATAAACACCAAACTTCAGGATTTTGCAAATATTGTTTTCCTCTTTCTGATTTTGTGGGTCTCGTATTGTTTATCCCATACTAAACGGACTCGTGCCCAGCCCTCTTCTGTTTGAAGAGTGACATATCGCCCCTCTTTTATGTGATAAAGAAGTGAAGGGGTTAATAAGTTCTCTACAACTGGCCCCAAGATGGCCCCATTTGGCATGAGAGAGGCTTGACTGCATTGTCTAGGGGGTTTTGGTCTGATGCAGAAACAACAAGCTTGAAAAGATAGCTTTCAGTCTTGCGAATTGAAATGGGAATATTTGGTTCCTGCGCTGGAGTCGAACATTGCGTAAAATCAGGGACATAAAAGCCTTTGTAATTTGAATTAATTTCACTCAGGGAACTTGGTCCCAGATTTTTCAGTACTAAGATACACTGTGACAAATATTGAAAACAAAACTGAACATTAGCGTTGCGGTTTAATTCAAAGTTCTTTGCATCAGCTTGCAACATCGCATGCTATTTCTGTGTGTCCAACATTGGGAACTATTGCTTCGGCATGAGTGCTTAACATTGCGCAATATAGCCCAACATTGCTAGGGGCAGGTCGACGCCTTTCTGTGCATTTCGTAAAATTGCTTTGTTGCGTGATCTGGACATTGCACAAGGTTTCTATTCAGCCTCTACTTCTAGCTTTGCGCTTAATACTTGTGGTTAAAGAATGAATCTGTTAGTTAGTATAATATTACCACAGAGTTCCTCTTAATTTCTGATTTTCACCATTCGGAAGGCCCAACAAATGATTCCTCCTAAAATGAAACAGAACGGTAATATTGAGAGAATTAAGCTTATTCTGTTAGCACATTAGTAGCGAAATAATAGTCTCCATACATGTTATGGACAGTCCTTTGAAATTTCCGTCAAAGTTTTTTAAACTCATCCGATCCGGTTCTCTACTTCAGTGAATAGTCCAGTTAACAAATAAAGACTCGTCATGAAAACGAGGCTACCAAATCACTCTGATAATCAGATTGGCTGCCGTGAGCCCGATGTTCTTACATTCTCCGACCCCGTCTCGGCATTGAAGCTGCATGTAAATGACCCAGATTTTCCTGATACGCAATACATGTAACTGATCTTTTGGTCTAACCAGACACGCGTTCACAAAGGATACAGTGTGGTATACAACAAAATAGACACCACCTTTTAAAATGTTATTTGAAGTACCTGAGAGATTTTACTGCAAAAAGAGTTTATATCCATGGAGGTGTTTGATTGACGGTTAGACATTGGAGGATTGGAAACATTAAATGACAAGCCACAACCTCTTGACTAAAGAGAGTATGCGCAGCAACTTTCGCGACAACTCAACTCTTTCTTATAATCAGCTGGCTCGGACACAGTGCACTTAACCGATGGAAGAGGGTTTTACTAACAGTATATTCAAGCTGCAGAAAATGTTTTGAGCTAAAATACAAGAACATTACTCTGCCCATAATACATGTTGTCCACCCCCCACCCTCTCCCCCCCCAAAAAAAATTATATAAGCTCTGTTTTCAGCCTGATTGATCGAGATGAAAACTTCCCTTCGTCGAACCCGCACCACAAACCCCGACTATTCGTATCCCAACCTCGCTCGCTTACTACAAAACTGCCACATGATCATCAACCCGCCACAATTCGGAAAAATTTAAGTACAAAAACTAGAAAACTGTCTTTCTTAACTGATACATCAACAACAGGTGATCTCTCACTCCGTTTTATACGCCACTATCGAGTTGTGAGGCAATGAATAAGATGATGTATAAGGTACCTGTTATCCGGAACTATCAATCCAAAACTTAGGGTGGATCGTCCCTCAAGGCAAGCTACCAAATACAGCAACTCAGAAGAACCACAGAGGGGATACCTTGTGACGACTTCTTGATAGTTAGGGTAGCGGTTTCCTCTAACAAAAACCGTTGGAGGTGTTGTATCTGTGAAGCCCTGTAGACCACGAATAAACTGCAAACTCTGGAAAGCTGAGTAATCGTGATCTGTCAGGAAAAAACATTTTCTTGTTCATATGAGCAAAAGTAATCATGGTTTTACAGACACGTGGTTGAAAAATTGCTTCCTTTTCTATCATTATCGAGTAATCCTGCGAATAAATATTCACTACGTGATCTTGGAAATAGGATTTCAAAAGTAGCAATGCAAGTGCGCTACTCTCAAAGTAACTAATGAGCTGTGAAGATTTAAAAATCATGAAGCAACGAAAGTATTTCATTGCAGACGGTATTTGAGGAGAGGTCGTGAACTGTAAATATCAACGGTGGATAAAAATTTTTGGCAATTCAGATTGTTTGTTTGGTGATTATATACTTTATTTTGGCAAAAACTGGACATAATGAAACGGTCAGAGCTCTGGACTGTATTAAATTTTGAAGCCCAGAATGTCAGAGTGTCTGCAGTCCCGCCTTTGAGAGCTAGCTGAAATTGTTGTTCGTAGCCCTGAATTTTCTTGGCACGCGATTGTTAAATAGCCAAGGGGTTCGTCTGCTATAAGCTGTGAATTTTAACTTTATATGATATGCCACATTTGAATTCAGATGTGCAATGAACAAAACACTTTTCTATGTAATCCAGTGAGTACTTTTAGGTCTTTAGAAATACATTCTAAGCGACGCTATGAAATTTATATCTGTTCATCCTAGGGCAACTTGAGCATTTTCGAAATTACCGGGGATCCAGTATTATTTTCCCGCAACTTCTAGAAGGCAGGTAAAAAAGTCGGACCGGATCAACTCGGACCGCAGTCAGGGTCGGATCAACTCGGATCGACTCGGACCAACTCGGATCGAATAAAAAAATAAAAATAAAATAAAATTGGACTCGGATCAACTCGGAGCAATCAAAAAAATTAAATTAAATCAGCAAAACTGAAAGTTTAACCCATTTGGAGGGTAAAAAAGGCCAGATCATCCTTTTTTTCTCCGTGGCTTTCAGGCGCCATTTTGTTTTACTAGTGCCAGTTCCTCTCGGATCATGTTATAAACTCGTGGTTGTGGTTCGACAGTAAAGAAATGATAGTTTCAGTCGCCTAGAATGTATATATTTGCTTATTTATTAGACTACTGAATTATTTATGAGAAAAGCATCAAAAGCCTGGTCTGTTGATCGCATTTAGATAGTTACCGAAGAGTGTTTGTTTGTTTGTTGCTGTTTGTTTTTTTTTTTCTGCCGGACTTCTGAAACTTAATTTTAATGATACACTAGTGAGCAGCACACATACATTTCCAATGAATATTTTTAACTTGGAACGAGGAGAAACCATGCTTGCCCTGGACAAAGGAAATTTCCATGCCCTAGGCAAGAATCGAACTCGCGACCCTCTGGTTCAGTGGTTGGAATGTCCGATAAACACGTAGTATTCGGAGGGTCGTCAGTTCAATTCTCGCCCGGGGTACGAAAATTTTCGTTGTCCCGGGCGAGCATGATTTCTCCTCCTTCCAAGTTGAAAATGTTCACTGGAAGTTTATGTGTGCTGCTCACTAGTGTATCATTAAAAGTAATAAAATTAATTTACGCAACCACGAGTTCGTGAGAAAAAAACAAAATGGCGGGTGAAAGTTAAGTGATACCGACTGATTTTATTTTTCTTTTTATAATCCGAGTTGTTTTTTTTTTATGATCCGAGTTGATCCGAGTCCAATTTCATTTATTTCTTTTTTTATTCGATCCGAGTTGGTCGGAGCCGATCCGAGTTGATCCGACCTGGACAGGTGGTCCGAGTTGATCCGGTCCGACTTTTGTACCTGCCTACTTCTAGATGCAATTTAATTCCTCTTTCCATCAAATTTTCGAAACCGAAATGTTAGGTTTCCTTTTTCTTCGAAAAAATCAGCTTTCCCGGGGAGTGAAATGCGAAAAATTAAACTACAGAAAATCAGTGGGAATTTATTAGATAAGCTTCGAAAATCATCTTAAGATTTTTAGCCTTCCTCAAGGACCTCAAGCTATAGAAAATTATAGGCAATTTTTGTTTCTTCGAACAGATATTTTACAAAAACCTTTCGTTGGGTGCCCCTGAGTAGAATGACCACAACTAGTCACCCTACAGGAAAGGGTGTCGCGACATCTTTATTTCGCGATTTTGCATGTTTAACCTTTAGTGCAAAAGTTTAAGAAACGTCACTTGTTGCGCGACTGTGAGGAAGCATAATCGATCGCTTTTTTTGTGTAACATGTAACGAAAACTTCGCACCGCTGATATCAGATCATCGGCTGGATTCGGGAAACGATTTTAGGTGAGTTTTGTTTTTAATCATTCTTAAGTAGTGCTTGTTTATTGTAGATTACTGGCTACTAAGCGAGATAATCATAGTTTCGTTGTTGTGTGCTGGGGCACAGTCAGACAGAGCCGCGATTACAGTTCAAGTTGATCATGATGTAAGAAATTTAAGAATTTGTTCATGCTTAGCGTGCGTATATCGAGTTATGGATGCACGCGGGAAGTTTGGAGAGCACGAAAGAGGCGTAAGAGTTGCACGAGGCGCAGCCGAGTGCAACTCTAGCCTCTTGAGTGCTCTCCAAACTTCCCAAGTGCTCAATATCTCGACATACGCACAACTGCAGCATGAACTAATTGTTTTATAACATTATCAAAGCGATCAATGCAGCAGTTAACTGAACATTTTATTATTGTAGGGCGCGCTCAAAGCAGTTGGCTTCATTGTTTACGTGAATATATGGTTTTTCCTCACAGTTAATCTTATGTTTTTATCCTGAAACTGAGAGAAAGTGTACTCTAAAATGATTGTTAGGTGCCGGAAAACTATTAATTTACCGAAAAATTGTTATTGAGAGAAAACAACTTTGCAAAGAATGAGCTCACGCCATAGCCCGCACAGCTCGCGGAGATGACAACAACAACACGCCTCTTTTCCTTACTATCGGTTAACAAATTCAAACGTTTCCTCTTAAATTTCCTTACAAAACACATGGTAAACGCTTCATTGTCTATTGCTGAATTATGGATGCACTCAGGAGACTCAGGATTGCTAAGCTCACAACAACTAGAGGAATTACGAATAGTTTATTGACGCCATCAGCGTGCTCGATAGGAATATGAAGCACGCTCGCGCTATTGAATTTGATTAGGTGAATTTTCTAGCTATGTTATAATATATTTTGAATCAGTTTAAATTCGCGTTTTTGAGTACAACAACAAAAAAACAATAAGGGAACAACAACAAAGGAACAATAACGTCAAAATTAAGAAAAACGCGAACAGCGGGACTAAATGTCAACAGGAAGTGAACAACCAAGCAGTTCTCACAATGTCCACAAGCAGTTCATGCTTGTACCGGTCTGAATTATTGTTCTTGAGTCAATTGACCACAACATCCATTTAGAAACTTCATCAGAAAAGTAAAAAATGTGATTTATAAACGTTTCTGTGGTAATAATACTCGCTCTTTCTTAATTATGGACACAATGTGAGTCACTTTAATTTCGCGTCAGGTTATGTTCGCGACACTCATTGTCGTGATTTTTTTTTTGTATCGCGAAATTAGCGTGTCATGAAAATTTTAAGTTAAAGGTTAACTGGGCTGAGCCGGCATTTGATATGCAGACACAACCCGATTTTGAAAGTGAAAGTATGCGGGAACTTCCGTTAACGCAACAATATTACTAAGCTCGATCAAAATCCAAGTATTTTTTTCAAAAAGAACCCGAATAAGAACGTGCCATATCTTGACTGAATAATGTAAAAACGAACCAAACTACTGCATTCAGCAGGTTGAATAGTTCAAATGTGCTAAATTTCAATGTAGTCGTTGGCAAATTTGACCATATTGCATTACTGTCATAACTCAAGGAAACGTTGGCTCGAGGTTGGTTCTTTATGTGCATGGACTTAAAATCAATGAACCTTACCTTGCTCAGCTGAAGAATTCAGTTTGTGGAATCTGGACGACATTGCCATTTACATGCATTTACATGTCATGAAAGAAACATCTCGTTTGCAACTACTTCGTCAGACAGTGCAGTGGCGCATACAACGTGATACTTATCATCTTGTAACAAACGATTGGTTCTGGCCAATTTTTTTTTTTCTCTGCGAGACATCAACTTGACACTTGGACTCTTGCCCCTCAGAGGACACGTGGTATGGCGTGATTCTGTGGGTGTTGAGAGTTCTAGGTCAGAGCTAAAATCAGAGTGCGCGGATATTTTTCACCAGAGTTCTCTCTGGTTCAGTTACGCCATACTGACGAGCCCCAAAGAGGGCGAAACAGCTGTCTATGGCTACAATCCCGCTCTGTTTTGAGTTCTTTCGGTGTCGTGTTGATGTCTTGCAGAGTCAATTTTCACGTAGTACGATCAGCACTGCAGTATTCTGCTTGCAGAATTTAATATGTCTACTTTTCATTTTTGCTGATCAGGTCTTTATAGATCCTACGTTCTTCGGCATATTCGTTTGCGGTCCTTTGCAGTCCTTTGTGGTTAACGTTTAAACCATTGAATGCCAGTTTAGGTCAAGAGCCAGTGGGTATTAAAAACAGGAAGTATTGATTGACTCTTAATTGGGAACAGTCCCCCATTAAACGGACAAAAGAAAGAATTTTCGTTTAACCTTTTAAGCCCTAAGAGCAATCAGTATCAAAATTCTCCTTTTGATATCAATTCTTTATAAAGCAAATTGGTGATGAGATTTAAGAACATGATCACACAAGATTGAGTTTATACTTCAACAACTTCTCACAACAACTTTTATAGGCAACAAATGAGAATTCAAATTTTGATCTTAGGGTTTAAAGGGTTAAAGGGCGGTCTATTGTTGTTAAAAGCGGCGTTGCTAAAACGAGGGTAAGGGTAACACCAAGGGTAAGGGTAAGGGTGAGGGGGAGGGTGGAGGGTAAGGGTAAGGGTAAGGGTGGGGGTGAGGGTGAGGGTGAGGGTAAGGGTAAGGGTAAGGGTAAGGGTAACGGTGAGAATTGTTGTGGGAATTCAAATTTAGATTTTCATCCCAAATTTCTCCCTCCCCCAAA